TTTCGCGGGTACTTACATATATGGCATTCAGCTTTGTTCGGGTATTTTCCCATGTCATTGTAGTTGTGCTTTTAAAGTTGTAGCAACATTTCGGCAGAATCTCATCTGCCATCATCAGGCTTCTGTATAGTGTTCATCTGTGAGTCAGACTTTTACAGTGGTTTAAATTTGGGGCAGCCTATTGCTGTGCCAGAATGGTTTTTTCTTCATCCTGATTGGTTGGGAGTCTTGGTCTGTGTTTATTGCTGTGTTCTGCTTGATTGGTGTTTCTAATATCTTCTGTCTGTTTTTTGGCTCTTTTTGTATCTTGATTGGCTGGCAACATTGTGTTACTTTATTGGAGGCCTTTAGTGCAGCTTGGCTCCGGGTAAATGGACGGCTATCATTAGTTAGGAAGCTAGGCTTCATCTGGGTGCCTGGTTGGGGTGTGTTCGAGCTGGAGGTATCAGGGGGGATCTGTCTGTGCCCAGGTATTTGCCTGGCTTGTGGTGTGGAGATTTTTTTGTTTGCGAGTACAGGCTTCCAAATGATTGACAGTCTTGTGGAATCATCTCTTCTATTCATGCTTTCTGGTCTTTTTTCAATCTCCATGGCTTCTCTGATGATTCTGTGGCTGGGGTTTTCTATAGTGGCTAGAGTTTTGGTGCCATTGAAGTTGATGCTATGACCTGTGGCTTCCATGTGTTGGACTAGTGAGGAAGTATGTTCCAGCTTTTTTACTGCATTTTTGTGTTCATCCAGGTACTTATTCTTCTATTGGTCTGTCCAATGTATGTGGCCGGGCATGATGCACAGGGGGCTTTATATATGCCTTGGTTTTCCAGGTCAGTTTTATCTTTGGGGTTTCTAAGGATGGCTGCTATTTTTCTGTCTGTTTTGAAGGCAGTCTTGATGTGATGTCTGTGTAGTATCTTACTAATTTTGTCTGTAGTCCCTCTTATGTAGGGCAGGACAGCTGTTCCATAGGTCTGTTCATCTTCTGGGTCTCTATTATGTCTCAATGTGTTTTTGTGGATCAAGCCAGTGATTTTACTTTTGTGGAAGCCGTTGGCTGTCAGTACTTTAGTCAGGGTGCATAGTTCAGTCTTAATGTGTGTCTTGTTTGCCAGGTGTTTGGTTCTAGCAGTTAGTGTTTTAGCCATGGAGTTTATCTGTGCTGGGTGGTGGTGGGATTAGGCATTGAGGTAGCGGTTAGTGTGTGTTTTCTTCTGGTATACAGTGTGTCCTAGTGTGCCATGTGTTTTTTTGCAGATTAGTACATCTAGGAATGGTAGTTGTTTGTTTGTTTCTGTTTCCATGGTGAACTTGATTTTGGGGTGTGTGCTGTTTAGATGTGTTAGGAAATTGTTTAGGTTTTCTTTTCCATGGGCCAAATCACAAATGTGTCATCGATGTATCTTAACCATAGTTTGGGTTTGTGGATGGCATTGGCCAGGGCTCTGGATTCGAATTCTTCCATGAACAGGTTTGCAATGACGAGTGACAGTGGTGATCCCATAGGGGCTCCTTCAATTTGTTTGTATCTTTGTCCTTTGTATATGAAATAGGTGTTGTTAAGCAGTGTTCTGCTAGTTCCATGAGGTGCTTAACTGGTTGGTATTTATTTTTGATGATTTCAAGAGTCTCTTTTGTCGGGACTTGAGTGAATAGTGAAACCACGTCAAAACTTACAAGCACTTGTAAGTTTCTTGCTCCACATGTAGATCTTTGATCATTTCCAAGAAGTGGTATGAGTTTTGTACATGTGAAGCTGCTGTTTCAGCATGGGGCTGTAGCTGTTTTGCTAAGTATTTGGCTAGGTTTTGTAGTGGTGCTCCTCTGGAGCTGACTTCAGTGGAACACCACTAAAAAACCTAGCCAAATGATGATTCCACCAGACTGTCAATCATTTGGAAGCCTGCACTTGCAAACCAAAAAATCTCCACACCACAAGCTATGTTTTTTGGAAAACATAACTAGGCTTAAAACTACTATAGGGGGAAATAATTTCTGACATTAGTAAATCATTAAAATAAGATGTTATTGTATTTTTTGGACTATAAGATGCACTCCATCCCCATGTGGGTGGAAATGTCTGTGCGTCTTACAGAGCAAATATTGTGGAGGGTAGGGAGGGTCGGTATGGCACCGATCAGCTGTTCTAGGTGGTGAGGATCACTGCCCCTATCACAGCTGCTGCTGCTCGTTCACAATTGGCAAACAGGCTGTGGCAGTGGTGAACAGGCCACAGCAATCCCCACAGCCTAGAATACTGATCGGCAGTATTCTGGGAGACAAATCCAATTGCCAATCGGTAGCAAAGGCTTCAGCATTTTCCCGTGGCGGCAGCAGCTTAGTTCAGTTGAGCGGTGGTGGGCGCAACAGAGCGGAGCCCTATGAGCCATACGCTGGGGTTGCGATAACAAGCTGAAGCTGATCAGCCTGTTTGCTGTTTGCTGCAAGGATGCTAGCCAGATGAATAACCGGACCGATGCTGGGAGCCAGAGGCAGATTTTGTTTTCTTGTTTACTCCTCTAAAGCTAGGGTGTGTCTTATAGTGTGAAATATATGGTAATTTCTTAATGTTGAAAACTCCATGTTGTAAAGGAAAAAGGAAGTCTCTTCATTCAAGCAGAACAATGGTGTAAGCTGGCCCAACACACATAATGTAGGGATACCTACAGATAGTGGGCTTCTGAAAGTCAGATTAATAGCTGGAGCTGGATGACATCAGTGACTCTTGTTCAAGCCTAATGGAGCTTCCACATTAAGAGGCAGTCTACATCCAAAGAGCTAGTCCTCCTGGGCAACAAGATAGAAAACCGACTGTTTTTCTGATTTTTAGGAAGTTATTCTTCCAAAGGCATTGGCCCAGCACTGCTAGCTTACAGAAATAGGGGAGGGGTGATCATTGTTAGTATTTCAAAATGCTTAAAAGCCAGGAGACCTTGAGTCTCCTTGGAAACTCCTGGGCCTTTGTGTCTTCATCCAGCTATCTCTGGCATTAACTCTCAGTTATAGGTAGTCGTCGACTTAAAACCATTCATTTACAAAAGCACTGCAAAAATCAAAGCTAAAACAGCACTGAAAAAAGTGAGTCATGACTGTTTTTCCCCCTTGCCACTGTTGCAGCATCCAACATGGTCATGTGATCAAATTTTGGATGCTTGGCCACTGGCATATATTTATGATGGTTGCAGTGTCTCCGGGGGGCCATGGGATCCCCTTTTGTGGACCACCTGACAAGCAAAGTCAATAGGGAAACCAGAATCACCTAACAGCTGTCATTATTAACTTAACAGCACAGTGATTTGCTTAACAACTGGGGCGAGAAAGGTTGTAAAATGGGGCAAAACACACTTAACTGTCTTGCTTAGTGGCAGAAATTGTGATTGTAAACGGAGGCCTACTTGTACTCACTGTCCTCAGTGAGTGAAAAAAAAAATCCATTTCAAAATATGATGGATTTCTCAAGGGCCACTGGATTCTAGGGAACTCTTTCCATTTTGTAGCCAACTTTTGAGAGGATTGGGATATTCTAGGGATGAAAACACCCAGTTATTCTCCTCTTACAAAAGAGAGCTAGGGAGCAAATATGCTCCACTGCAGTTCCCTCTTTCATTCCTTGTTGGTGTTAAAAGACAGATTTGATTATTTTTCCAATTGATCAGGATCACAAGCAGCCTTAGCCTTTGAATTAAGGAAAGCTTTTAAATTTGATAAACTACCTTGGCTATGGAATGCATCTAACCATGCAAAACCAAACTGAAGCTTAACACTACAGGTAGTGCTTGGCTTATGACCACAACTGAGTCCAAAATTTCTGTTAAGTGAGTTTTGCCTCATTTTATGACCTTTTTGCCACAGTTAAGTGAATCACTGCAGTTGTTAAGTGAATCATGGAATAATCTGGCTTCTCCTATTGACTTTGCTTGCTGTTAGCCGTCTGGGAAGGCTATAAATGGTGATTGTATGACCCCAGGACAGTGCAGCTCTCATAAAGTATACACCAGTTGCCAAGCACTGGAATTTTGGTCAGGTGACCCTGTTGTGCTGCTGCAACAATCGTAAGTGTGAAAATGAGTCATGAGTCACTTTTTTTAGTGCCATTGTAATTTTGAATGGTCACTAAATGGTTGTAAATTAAGGCTACCAGTAATCCATTCAACCCAGAATTTTTCCACTTTGGGTAATCTCGACCACATGGATATTATTACATAAGATCTAAATCTACTTAATTGGAACAAAAGGATTCTAAGCAATAGACTTAGTCCATTCTTTTTTCTCTGTTCTAGGGGATTTAAAAAAAAATGTTTTTGGAGAAGGAAAAAAGCCTGCCACAAGCAGCAATCCAGGAGCTGCCGTTCCAAATTCTATGGCAGGAGCAATATGTACAGTAAACTGAAGGACATCCCCAAGACTCCCAGAAGAACAAAAGTAAAATTTATGATCAATATGGAAATCCAAAAAGTGGAATGATATGGTGAGTAGACAACGTCTTGTGAGGGATGGAAGATTGAGAAGGAAAAGGAAGGAGCTCCTTCAGGAGTAGATCCTTCATGTAGGACAGGGGTGTCAAACTCAAGGCCCGTGGGCCAGATCCAGCCATGGGATGCTTAGATCTGGCCTGCAGGGCTGGTCTGGAAATATGAAAAGACTGCCCCACCAGTACCTCTGCTGGCCAAAATGCCGTGGAGGCTGAAAACAGGCCGCCCAGGGCCTCCATACAGACTGTTTGCAGTGGGCAGAGTGCTGTAGGAGGTTTGGATTGGACTGGATTACAATAGTATTAACATAGGATGCTACTTATTTTCTATTCAGGTCACGCACTTACTTGAGACTACATGTCTCAAGTAAGTGCGTGATCTGAATAGAAAACAAGCAACATACTATGTTAATACTACAGGTTAATGCCAGATTTTACATACTGTAGGTCCATTTAATCTACAATCAAAAATCTATAATTGACAGCCATTTCTATTTACTATCCTGGTAATTTTACCTCTGCTATTAGAGCTTGTATTATGTTGTTTATGGTATTGTATTTTTATTGTTAGTTGAATAATAAAAATACAATAGTAAAAATAGCTTTTCTGCCTGGAAAAGCAATTTACTATTAAACAATGGGGCATAAATTTAGAAATAAAAAGTTTAGTAGAATATGAAGAATAAGTAATAAATGTTTTCCAGTAACATCTGGTAGAAGGGATAGGAAAATAGCTATAGTAAAGAATTGTGGAAAGAAAGAAGAAAAGCGGGGGAAGTGCATCTTGACCCTGTAGGAAACTCCCACCATGGCCATGCTGAACTCGCCCAACCCCTGGCCTTCTGAGGTCAAACACATCCCTGATGCGCTCCTCAATGAAATCGAGTTTGACACCCCTGATGTGGGATATCTAGGAGCCATTTCTACATGTTCAGCTATGTCGAGGGTTGTTCATAGTGACTGAGTGGCCAAGGTGTTCCTGACCCACCAAGCTCCCTCTCCTGCCGAAGTTCCTGAGCCCACACTGACTTTACATGAGTGTTTTTGCTTTCATGGGACTGTTCTTGTAACCCTCCACCCTGTTCAGTGGCACTTGTCTAAATTTTGGCAACTGGGGAGGGAGATTACAGAGAGTAGGGAGGCGCCTTAGCACCCTGTGAGACTTCTCTCATGGCGGGAGCTCCGTGAATCTCAAAAGCTTTTTAATGGATGGAATTGAGTCTCAAAGGGAAGGACGTTGTAAAGATAGGCCTGATTTTGATGAGTTTTCTTCATCTGGAGAAGACTTTAAAAAAAATACCCACTGAGGATAACAACTCTTGTCCTTTTCTAAATTTCCCCACAGCTCAGAGAAAAAGAAGCTCTTCTTATGAAAACAGTCCCATCGAGCACCTAAGGCCCAACATGAGACAGCCTGTGTCAGAAGAGACCTGTCAGCCAAAATTTTGACAAAGAGGTCCACGAGATGAATAGCAAGGCAGCTGAAGAAGTAGGTACCCCCTTGGCTCTGGTGGTTGCTATGGCTGGCTTTGGATCCTGTGTTTGGATCCCAGTCTCTTTCGTCCCATCTTAGTGTGGTACAAAAGATTCCTCAGGATGGAGGGAGTTTCAGGAGGCTTGTAAGTTACCTCTGAAGGGAACACCATTAGGGACAAGACCATACCCCATAGATTCCATGACTTACAGTGTGACTCTTTCCTATTGCAGCAAGAGCACATCATTCAGGTCTCATTTGTGGAGTCCTTGATGTTCTCTGACCTTGGTGGTTTTCTTGCAGATATTTCATTACCCAACTAGGTAATGTCATCAGTGCTGGAAGGAAGTGGGGTTTGCTCTGTTTATAGACAAGTGGCTGGCTTTATCAGTGCGCTTAGTGGTTCCTCCTTGATTAGGCTGTGATTTATTGTTAGCTTGTGTGTGTATACCTTGGTGGACACAGGGCAAGGCACTCATATAGAAAAATAAGAGCAAAACCACGCCCTTTCAACACTGATGATGTTAACTAGGTGGATAATGAAACATCTGCAAGAAAACCACCAAACTCAGAGAGCATCAAGAACCCCATAATTGAGGCCCTGAACGATGTGTGCTTGCTGTAATGGGAAAGAGTCACACTGAGCTCAAATTCACACTCAACCCTGAGCTACCAATATTCTCTTCTATCAAGAACTCTTTTATTGCTGCTCTGGTTTCAGCTGAAGCCAAATAGGGAATTGGAAATCCTGGTGCCCTAGAACAAGAGGTTGTATTAGTCTTGCTGTCCTGATAAATAAGTGGGAGAGAGGTTGGTGGAAAGCGAAGGAGAATGAAGAGAAAGTAGCAGTAAAGAGAGAAAAGAAAAACTATCTCTGGATTTTCATAAGTTAGCAGGTCAACTAACCCTTAGCAGGTCAGAGAAACATAACATATCTTTGTAAAACTGGCCCATATGAAGGGGCCTTAATTTGTGGATTATTTTCCTTTGGACAGAGTGATAAGCTATCGCAGAATGTTAAGTCAAAAGAAGCTGGGACAAAGAGGAAGGAGTGGGATAGAGCAGCGTGGTAGACTCTGAATTCTTTTCTTCTCTCCACTTGCTTCCTACCAGGCTCTGTTGGAGGACAACCAGTTCAACAGCATCACTAGCTGCATTGCTAGGTCAGTCTTTGTTTCTTTGATAGTGAGTATGGAAAATCTGTTTGCAATACTCAAAAAAGTAAGGAGGAAGAGAATAAAAGTCAAAAGAATACATTACTTCTTTTATTAGAACAGTTATACCTCTTCCTAGGTCAGAAGATGTTTAAAACAGTCACTCATGCCCTGATCAGCTTGCAATTTGACTACTACAGCAAACTCCACATAGGACTGCTCTTGAATACCATCTGGAAGCTTCAGTTGGACCATGGCCAATTCAACAGTTGACTTTGGATTCTCTGCTCCTCTCCCTTCTTGTTTCCTGTCAGGATCTTTTGGAAAAGACAATACTTTAAGCCGTTTCACCACAGAACTAGCCGCATTGCTGACAATATATGACATCAGTTCAGCCTTTTGTTTCTTTCTTAGTTGGTAAGGAAAATTTGTCTACACTACTCAGTGAGTAAGAAGAGGGAGGCCTTTCAGAAAGTCATTTACACTCTGGTCACCCTTTAGCTTGACTATCACAACCACGTTACATAGGGCTGGCTTTGAATCCCACCAGGAAGTTTCAATTGGATCATGGCTATTTTGGACTTTTTCAGTTAAGATCACCAAACTGAAGATGTTTTCCTTGTGAAGTGGAGAGAAGAGGAAAGTAGCTTGACTCACCATGTCTTCTAGTGATTGATCCAGGTTCTCCTATTCTCTTGAGAAAAATGAAACCAAGGTTGTTGACTAAAAGTTCACTGTTGTCTCTTCTTTCATCTCAAAGTTTGCTTCAGCAAGGTTCCAGCAACCGTGGATTTACTCATAGAAAGCATGCTCCTTGATGTATGGTTTTCCTGCGAACGGCCTCCGTGGAGATAAATGATGTTTCAAAGCCATTACATTCACCAACATTTCCAGGATTTCCTTTGGTGGTGTTGGCATGTCTGGACCAATATTCCAGAAAAGCTTTTCTTTTCACGTGGAGAAGTTGCCCTTGGCCTTATATCCAGAGGCTTTCTTTGTCCAGCTCTTACCTCAGAGCATTTTTATTTTGAAGGTAAGGGTATAAAACATCTCAGAAGGAATTTGAAGGAATATTTGGCCATTGTGAACATTAATAGAATCAAGTGTTAAAGTTGTTGTTAAATGACCCACTGTGAACAATAATTGGGGTGGGGGGTGGGGATGTTCTTGAGGAGAAGCATCAAGTACCATAAGAATATTGGCATGTCATAAGAGCTGTTTTTCTTCATGCAAAGATATCGTCATTAAGATGTCTGTTCAGCTGTAATGTTCCAAAGCCAGATGTGGGTTAGGGATAGTGATCAACAGCAACCTATTTCTTTTTTTTTTCAAGTTTTTTTTAAATTTCAATCTACACATACACAATACATTAACAGTGTGGCATCAATATATCATTAATTTTAGTATAGGTAAACTTAATAATACCTCTTAATACACATATTCACATATCTCTTAATATGCAAATTCACATTAATTCAAAATCCTTCATTGCTTATTTTAACATTTTAATATTCTCCTAGTGCCAACCACCATATCAGTTAAACCTACCTAGTAATTTCATTATTCAATTTCCTCCTCAATTTTTTTTAAATAAAAAATTCTCATTTGGCAAGCAGTATGGTTCCAGGTTTCACATCTCAATACAAACATGACCATAGTTACCTATTCACTTTGTTTGTTCAATTTCATATCACATTAACCTTATTAGTATTAAATATTAAACTTACCCAATTCTAATTCATGTTTAACTTATTTCATTTTTCTTAGGAGATTCTCATATCTTATTTTACAATGTTATCTAAAATTCTCATTTCATTTCTATGTTCATTTCTCATATTATCTTTTTCTGTCATATTTGCAATTTTATCAATCCTTATTTTATTAATTCAAAATTGTCCCCTCTGGTTAATAATTCGAGCTAGCCACCTTCATTCTACCTTAATACCATCTCCCTATTTACTATATAACACAAATAGATAGATAGATAGATAGATAGATAGATAGATAGATAGATAGATAGATGATAGATAGATAGATATGTATGTATGTCAGATTCCACATTACATTTTCTTGATCTCCTTATAAATTATCTATACTTTACAAAAATACTAGTCTAAACAATTAATTATAGCAACTGATATTAATCTTTCCATAATGGTTCTCATTTCAATAGCAACTTATTTCTGTTGATCTTTGATAAATTCAGCTAGCTCTTATAGTTTAGCTAGCTTGGCCAAAGAAAAGCTAGCTAAACTATAAGAAATCAAAGGAAATAGGAGAACCTAAACTTGTGGGACGCTGTATTAAACATAAAAAAAAATCCATTCTCTAAGGCATTCTCTAAGGTTGAAAAAACAGTTTGGCTGAAAAGGAAAAGATAGAAAGTGGTTGCAGACCTTAATCATGGCAACATGAATTTCCCATGCCAAGATAAACCATAGACTTGGCACTGCAGTTCTTATGTAACCCCAGCCCAATGTTCACACAAAGATTAGGAAGTAATTAGATATTTGAAACCTAGTCGAAAGTGAGTGCCAGCTGTTAAAATCATAGTGACAATTACAGTGTGTGTGGTACATGAATGGGGAAAATACATGCAAGAGACCCAACACTAAAATCAAAGGCACATAGGGAGTGCCTTCTCTGCTGTTGCTCTTGCCCTCTGGAACATCTCCACACCTGATATGAGGTTGGCCCCAATCCTTCTATGTTTTTGTAAGGACCAAAACACGTGATTGTGCCAGTAGACTTGGGGCCCCAGTGAGGGAACAGCACAATGGAGGTGGCTGATTGAGTAATAATGGACCCCTCCACCTCCATCTCCGCCCTCCCTGTGTGTCTTTTATTTTAATGTTTGATTTTACCTTTTTATGTTTTAGCATAGATCTGACTGTTAGCCACACAGTTATTACCCTATGGTACAGTGATGGGCCAATAAATTTTATAAATATAGAAATTTTGTTCATGAACCCTTTTCTCCCCACAGTTTGTGCTAACAAAGTTCAAGAATCCTACTTTCCACTGATTTTTAATGGGGAAAATGTTTAGATTAATTAGATTGGCTCCGTACACTTATAAATGCATTCTGATGCATGCAAACCTACTCTTTGCAAAAGAACCTGGCTCTATCCATTTGTACATTCTTAGCCATACCTGATTTAGCCCTAACCGGCTAAAGGACACAAACTAAGTAGAAGTTCAGGCATTCTGGGCAAACCAGACCAAATTAAAACCTGATTTGTTGAAGTGTTTTGTGGAAACAGCAACAGAAGGCAGCTGTTTTTACTTACTTGTTTGCAAAATGTGGAGGATGTCTGCGCACAGATCTTGGCATTGTTTTAAGGGGCACAGCTTAGGAGCAAAAGTGGTGAGGAGCACACCTGTGTCTTTCCTGGAACCATTCTGAAATTAAAATAAAAAAGAAGCAAAAGTAGGCTGGCACCAGTTATAAGCTTGGTACATTTTGGGTGCTGAGAAATAGTTTTCTGGGCCATATGTTGTTTGATATTTTTTGTCATTTTAAAAAATCAATATTTGCATAGTGGATGTCCAGTGGTTGGATTGAAAACAAATTTAATAAATTGCAGCATTTGAATGCTTGAGTGCTTGAGAAACTGGTCGAACGAGTACGATTTCATAGCTAGGGCTATTTGTAGAGCGTAAAACTCGTGACTGTCAAAAGGTTTTCAAAAATGTTTATTTGTGTCTGCCTGCAGTAGTGAATTAGCTAATCTGTAAACATTGAACTTAATAAGTTTGGGAAAGAGGCTCTTCAAATGGGAAAGTACACTAGATAACTTCAAAATATATCAAGTCAGCCCTGTTGTTGAGATAGGAACATTTTGTTTACTTTTCAGTGGAACTCTGGACAGCTATCCAAATATCATACTTGACAATATTAATGGACAGGTGTAATATATGTGAAAAGATATGACTATCTTTTTCTTCAGCCGGGTCAAAACAGTGTAGCTTAAGAAACTTCCTCTCACATTTTTGTAAGTTGCAAGTAGAAACTGTTTGCTTTGAATGGTTATGCACATAGTTGGTGTCAACTTTTAACTATGTATAGATTTTATATTTATTTTTATTTTGTGTTTATTATTCTTATAAATAATTCAAGGTGGTAAGCAAACCTAATACCCCTTCCTCCTCCCCCTATTTTCCCCACAACAACCCTGTAAGGTGTGTTGGGCTGAGAAAGAGTATCTGGTCCAAAGTCACCCAACCATTTTTTATGCCTAAGGCAGGACTAGAATTCACTTGTCTCGGGGCGAATTGCCCAAAGTCATCCAGCCAGCTATTATACTTAAGGCAGGACTAAAATTTGTTCTCCTGTTTTCTTTCTTTCTTTCTTTCTTTCTTTCTTTCTTTCTTTCTTTCTTTCTTTCTTTCTTTCTTTCTTTCTTTCTTTCTCTCTCTCTCTCTCTCTCTCTCTCTCTCTCTCTCTCTC